TGCTGTGTTGTGACATTGGTAATCTGTTTCGACAAGACATCAATCCGTACGCTGAGTTCAATATCTTTGGAGATCCTTTTGCTGCGTACACGGTATATAGTTGTTTGATGGTCATTCTATGCTTAGTTAAAGTACAATATTGATAATGTAATTTACATATCAGGTATTGCATTCTGGCATTCCAGTCACGCTCGTTCCTCTGGATGCAACAAGAACGATTCCTCTAGATGAGCCAACTTTCAAAGCATTTGAGCAGAAACAGGATACATATGAGGCACAATATAGCTTCCAGTCTTTGAAAATGGTTCGTGATACATGGCCGAACGATGAATTTTATAAGGTAGTTTCCTATGATATGTTGTTCTTCTATGCATGAGCAAAAATTCTGTAATTATTCACTGATTCTTAATATTAAGTTGAATGTCTACCTCTGATATATATTCATGAGTTATTGAAAATTTCGCAGCAATTTTGCATGTGGGATTCTTTTATGGTTGGTGTAGCATTATCTCAAATGCGTGGTTTAGAGAGAGATGACAAAGAAAATGAATTTGCCAAATTGGAGTACATGAACCTCACAGTGATTACTTCGAATAGACCTTATGGAATATCAGACGGCTCAAACCCTCTCATTGATGGGCGTTTGATCCCAAAGTTCGGTGTACAGAAGAATGGGGTGCATAGTGGTCATGTTCAGATGGGAATGGAAGATCCATTTTGCCTTGTCAAAGAGGGGAAAGGAAAATGTCAGGTATGCTTTCTAGGTACTACACCAGTTTCTTTGTTATACGTTTATTGATTTCTTGATAACTCTGGCTTTTAAGTTGTAACAACTAACTGGAGTTTGGACAATGCTAATAGGATGGTTACACGAAGGAGACAACTGGTGCGGAAGCAGTTACCGTACTTGTTGCAACAGAAGCTAAGCGAGATCATGACAGTAACAGTACTCGTGCCAAAGATTTCTACGACAGTTTCTTGGATGTAAGTTTATGATTAAAATCTATCAATTTTAGGTCCTTTCAGTCATGACATACAAAATTTTGTTAGAGAAACTTTTTACATTCATACTTGATTCAGCATGATATCTTCCATAATTGTGTCAAATGCAGGTTATAAATCGACCTAAGAAAACTGGACGGCCGAACATTAAAACGCAGCTTCCACTCCACGAGAGTGTACTTCGAAAACCAAATTTTGGAAGGAAATTGATGGGCAAAAACCTAGTCTTCGATATGGATATGAGTGCTGGGGATTTCCTAGCTCTTCTATATCTCCTAAAATTACCTGTGGAACGGATCAACCTCAAGGTACGATACTGTCCTTGTAAGCTTTGCGAGGTTTGGTGCTACACATGCAGTAATATAAATGAATAGCTAACCGAGTAGTTTTGTGGGATGGCATGCTAGCAATTATACATTTTGAATACAATCAATAGTATCTATATGTTGTGACTTTGCTACTAGCTTCTGGCTTCGACATACATGGCTTTGAAGATACTAATACAAAATGATGTTTCCAGGGAATACTAGTTAGTGCTAATGGGTGGGCAACCGCTGCAACCATAGATGTTGTATATGACATACTGCATATGATGGGCCGTGATGATATTCCTGTTGGTCTTGGAAATGTATTTGCAGTTGGGCAATCTTATTCATCTTTCTCTTCTCTCGGAGACTGCACGTACATCAGTTCTATTCCTCAGGGTAGTGGTGGCTCCTTGGACTCTGACACACTCTATGGATTTGCTCGTGCCTTACCTCGTAGTCCTAGGAGGTAGTACTGTCTACTTAACTTAGTAGACATCTAGTTATGATGTTGTTTAAGAATTTATGTGCATGATAGGCATATTTATTATATGGCTACTTTGTGTTTATTTCAGATACAGACTAGCAACCAAGGAATTCCCCGGACTTGGACAGCCAACTGCAATAGATGTTTGGAAGTCCATTGTAAAATCACTCGATCCAGGATCCAAGATTACTTTGTTGACCAACGGACCTTTGACAAATTTAGTCGAAATCCTTCTTTCTGAGAACGCAGACTCAATGGTCCAGGTAAATGCCGTTGCTTTGGAAGATTAAGCCTGAATTTGTATGTCATGCTTTTGTATTGGATTGACATTTTCATTGTTATAATTTCCCTGCAGGATGTATATATTGTTGGGGGACACATTCGCCATGGTAACGAGCAAGGGAATCTGTTCACTGTTCCTTCAAACAAATATGCGGAATTCAACATGTTTCTTGACCCGTTGGCTGCAAAAGCAGTTTTAGATTCGAAACTGAGCATAACATTGATTTCATGGGGGATACAGAAGCAAGTCAGTTCCTTCCAGAATATTCTTGATAAATTAAATCTAACAGATACGACTCCCGAGGCTGTATTTGCCAGGGATCTACTTTCGAGGTTATGGAAACTGAAACAGAAGCATGACAGATACCGTCACATGGTAAATTTCCACAAACAGAGCTATGCATCTAAAGAAAATTCTCTTTATCCTGTTCTGTTAATTATTCCATCTGATTCAATTCAAGTTTCTATAGTTCTGGAATGGGAGTATTATCTTCAATGCATGACACTTTGTCGATGAACTTACGTTGTTTCAGTTCTGTCACTACTTTAACAGGATACATTTCTAGGGGAAATCCTTGGTGCCGTAATCTTGGGTAGCAGTCATCCTCAACTAAACCCAACCTTTAAGTTTATGCCCCTCAAGGTGGTGGCCGTGGGAGATGTATCGGTAATTGGGCAGCTACTGGTCGATGAACATCAATCAAAGATGGTGAAGTTACTGAGCAGTGTAAATCCAGAGGCATATCACGAAGAATTTGCTAACATATTAGGTGAACAAAAGCAGTCTGCTTCGTAGCAAGCTTTGTTGAGGAAAAAAGGATTATTGGGTCCCCAACCAAATAGTAATGATAAATTAATCCTCTGCCCAACTGATGATGTTTTTCCTTGATAATTGAAACTTGTTTTGTTACAAGGAAAGTTAGAAGTCTGAGAATGCTCTTTCTCCATTTTCTCAATCTTGACTTTACCGTTTCACGTGGACAACAGTCCTTCCTCTAAGCCTGCTCTTACTATAATAATTACCCTCCTTTGCAGCTCTCATTTTTCATTCACGCCCACTTCGTTTTCTCTTATTTGATTACGATGATATTTAATAATCTAATTTAAACTACAAGAAGAGAAATTCGATGTTATGTGTAGAGAAGAGAACACATCGTTTTAGTTAACTTGGTTAAAGCCAGGTTCAATAGTTGGAAGATATCTCTATCATCCTACTCAACCAAATCATGAATAAGGATTGGAATCATGGAATTATGTGGATAGGTTGAGTTCATAATATATTCCAACTACTTGCCCTTCAAATGTAGGAGCATAGTTGTCAACGTTTAGGGGTGGCTATCCGTACCTCATTTTATTTAACATATAAATAAGAAGGAAGAAAAAAGTGGGTTCATCTTTGGAACATGGAAAACAAAAATACAAAAATAATAGATACAGTTGGACCAAGAAGCATAAAATCATATATAGAAGATACTTTGGCACTACAGCATGGATGTATATGTAATATACTCACCTTCCAGAGTGTCCTGAGATTATCCCACGCCTCATTAAAATATTTGAGTGTAACTTGACCTTATACAGATCAACTTTTATAAATTACTAGCCTTGGGGTCAAGAAATCTATTAATTTAGTGGAATATTAAATAACAAACAAATTAAATTATTAATTTATCGATTGACTAATAACTTATTGATTTATCAAGATAGTTTGATTTTTATTTAAATATTATACATTGTATTTAGTTTTTCGTTTTACAAACTAACAATTTTATATATTTGTTTAATCAAGTAAAATTCATAAATTTATTTTTTACTTTTGAAAAATAGATTGAACATTGTTCAGTGTACTATATTATTCCAATTTTTGAGATCCAAGGTGATATCAATTTCCAAGAAGAAACAAATGGCTGAGTCATATTTTAAGAAAATCTCATAGACAAATCATAAACATTATGTATCAGGAAATTATTAAGTTGTATAGTACGTGGGATCTATTTAAATATATGTATATATATATATATATATTTGATAATGTTTATCTTGTAAATTTAGTAAATTATTACAAGTTATCCACAAGTTAGGACCGGCCAAAAAATATTATAGAACCGAGGTTATTAAGTTTTTCTTAAATTATAGAATAATCTTAAGTTTTTATCTTCTAATTTATTTGGGTAAATATATGAGAGGGGTGATCCAACAGTAGTTTTTGGCAGAGAAGCTACCAATTTCCTCTTTTTGATGGAAACATTGAAAAGAAAAAGAAACGTCTTTGTCAAACTTTTTAAAGTTATGAAAATGTGGCACCATACCCTCTTTCATAATGATGAAAACTTCCTCATAAATTTCCACAACCACAAATCATTGTGTTTTTTTTTTCCGTCAGATTTAGGGTAATTGAATAGATCCAGGTAATGTGTCCATCTCTTTACATTTAAGTTTGAATTCTTCATGTGCCACGTAGTGATGTTTACCTTTATTGGTAAATGAGGGATCTTAGGTTAGATTCTCGTCAAAGACGAATTTGAACCACACTGCTAGATCATTGTGAGATTTAGTCCACTCTCGCACCCCTTAATATAAATAATATCGTTTGTTAAAAAAGAAAGTTTGAATTCCCCACCTTACCTTTTCTTTTTTTTTGTAAACTAAATTAGTTTTTTTTTTCTTTTTTTTTTTTGAAGAACAACTAAATTAGTTTAGATTATGTCTTCTAAAAAATGAATTATTATGTTGGCTTTCCCTTGGGCGAATCCGACTTGAAATATGAAAAAGTAACCTTCATTGTATTAGTTATCAGATTTGAGAAATTGGTTTTTACTATTGATTGTACTCAAAGTTTACCACCCTCCCATTTCAGAGAAAAAGTGCAGATGGTGACTTGTCATCATTTGGTTTTTTTTTTTATGCGAACAACAAACTAATTATTTGCATAGGAAGCCTCTACCACAAATTTAGAGGTAGAAAGATTCATTAATTCACATTATTTGCCATATGATCTCCGCTCAGCTCAGCTCAACTCCTTCTGAGCCCCAAGCAATTTGGATGCTCAACCACATAAGAGATCAGACAAATAAAAAGAAGAAAGTAAAAACAGCATAGCTTCTCTGCATATCTAGCAACAGCCCCACAATGCGCTTCCCTCAGTTATTTAATCTGCTGTTAATCATAAAGTTCACCTCTTCACTGGATCTCACCATTTTGCATTACCCTGGAAGCGAACTGCCTGCCGCCACAACCTGTCTCTGCAGCTACATTTGAACAAAAATAGAACATCAAGGCTTTGAGACTGAGACCTAGCTAGGAAAAAGGTTTGATGTAATATGAAACAAATATTTCTACTACTTACCTCGAAAAGATTTTCCAGTTTATTTTTCACAAGTAAATACTCATGCTTCACTTGCTGCAGACATTTTACGCACCTACACCAATATTAAATTTTCGATTCAAAATTTCAGATAGATACGCAAATCTTCATAATGTTACTAAAGTAGTGTTCAAATCTGAATATTTTTACAATCATGGTAGAGAAAGATTAAATTTTATTTACCCTTCGACGTTCTGCTCCTCGGAGAAGTTCCGGAATGCAATGCATGCCCTCTGAACTCTCTGAGCACCAATGCTGTTATTTCAAGGACCAGTTTTCTTCATCAAACACCAACAGAAGAAAAAACATGTACAACTGAAATACTCTGGAAATGTTATATTTTCAATGTACATTTCTTCATGTTGAACAAAGTAGGAAAGAATGACTATCTTCCAATTTTCCAAGAAATAAATAACTTAAAAACTTGGACTTCAGTGTAAAATACTTTCTGATATATGGCATATCTGCTTGAGGATAATTGACAAACTTTCCAAATTAAAAAAATAAATCATCCAAATTAATGGAGCTTTTAAGTCATATACTTGAATCTTCATTTCATCAAAACTAATAAAACTAATGGAAATTACTTCATATATTTTTTTTGAATTGAAACAACATATGTATATTATATACCTGGAGCTGCTACCCTTCAATTGGTGAACACTTTTATCCACAAATTTATAGTTAACACACTGCTGATCTCTGCACCCAAAAATTTAAAAAATAAAAGCAAAAAGAATGAAGAGATCCTGACTGTAGAAACCCTACCAAGGAAAGAAAAGTACTTTAAAAAAGATTAAAAACTTTGAATATTAATGATGGGAAAGTTTTATGAATTCTTACAGAGCTTTTGCGAGTTCATTAACAAGCCTCTCAGCATCTTGAAAGAAAAGAGACACCACTTCAACTACAAAGTCTGGGTTGTTTTCATCTTGCAGCTGCTGAAGTTGGTTGAACTGTTCATCCAGAAATGCCTTCACACAAAAGAAAAAACAAACTTATCACCCAAAAATAACAGAAAATCCAACCCAAAAATCTGCAAAAACAAGCACACAAGCACACAAGTCCACCTGTATATAAATATATATCATCCTATACATATGTATATATTCTGACCTCCTCAAAGAGTGAAGCTGAGTAGTCAACCAGCTGCTTCTGCAACTGAGCAACACCATCCATTGCATCATTCTCAAGCTTTTCAACATCCATTTTTTTTAATTTGAATTTTTGGAGGATCTTATGAATCCATTGCACCCTTTCTTCCCCTTTAAATAGAGGAGAACCCAATGGAGGGGTTGCTCAAATTTTTATTTTGGAGAGTTATGAGGGAAGCTCTAAGGTAAGATTCCTACCTTTGTGGGCTATACATGATGTATAGTGCATGCACTCACCTTTTCTAGTATTCCTTACTTGACTACTAGCTAGCCTATTTTCGTTTTCTCTTTCCATTTTTTTCCTTTTAAAAGCACCACAAGATCCAAAACCTCATGCCATGTACCATTCACCTTCCCCTTATTTTTCTTTAAGTAATTATTTCTCTCTCCCGTAAAAAGTTTTAGTAGGACTATCACATTAGGTCATCTATCACATTGAATAGAACCGGTATGTATAGGTGTTAAATAAGACCAAAATATAGGAAGTTAAATTTTTAGGAGAGTATACCTACGATTGCAAATGACGTAGTCTGGGTATCCTACACAAATTTTTCTCCTCTCTCTCACATTTTATTTCATGAATCTAGTTTTCTCTTTTGCTTTTAAGCAAACATATTTGAGATTATATGAAGAGATAAAGAGAGATTTTAGTGCTCACAAGTCACAAGTCACAAAAATACACTCACTGTTTTAACTGACGAGAAAGTTTACCCACATTTGAGTCAAATTCAAGTGACATGATGTGATAGTGACCTCAGACAATATTGTTGCATCCATATCTTCTGGATTTTAATTAGGATTTTGGATAGATTTTGTCTTTTCGTAAAATAAAAATAATAATGTTATTACTCATCACATTAACAATAAAAGCAAAATTTTAACATTTCTAAGCACCGAGATTTTAATTTATAGAAGTTAGTATAATAAAGTATTAAACTTGGTATAACAAAGTTACTGAAATGCTTTATTGGTCATACAGTGATAAAAAAATATATGATAATTAATTTTGAATTTGATATAAAAAAAGGAATAACAAATGAATATATTTAACGTTTTGATCTCAACTCTTTATCTATGTATCGTTAATCTTCAAGTGAGAAGACTGCAATTTTGGATTCTAATAAAGTAATGTACTTTTGTTGTCTGGATTCTCAAATAAAAAGCATACTTTATGTTAACCACTCCACCTTTCTTTTTCACTTGCATCAATATTTAACATTGATCTCTCAAGATTCTTTATAATTAAATCGATGTTGGTCATGTCTTTGTTGGTTGTTTGTGTTGTTGCAGTTTGATTGGCAGCTGCCGTTCGTATCGATCATTGGGTAGTACGAGATAACTAGGGGCAATTCATTCAGCACAAAGACCTCTCTCTGCCAATTGCATAATATATATTGATTGTTTTAGTACTAAACTGGTCCTGCTCCTTCCACAACCATGTGGTTTCAGTTGATCTTTCAATTTTAAACGTCATTTCTCTGCCATTTATCTAGGATTAAGATTAAGAGGGGGTGATTAGGGGAGGATAATCTTTGCTGGCATAGGACATGTGTCGGCAGCTCAAAGCATTGTGTAGGGGTAGACAATGTATAGATGGGATTTTGGCTGCATTTGTTTTGTTTGCATAGGTGTCACAAATTTTGAGGCAAAGTTCATTGGGTTGAAGGTGACTTTTGTCATCTACATGTAGCATGTTGCAAGTGATATAGGTTTGCAAGTTTGTCATCCATTGAGTCCTTTTTTCTCTCTTGGAATGGCTGCGTTAGCATGATTTCATTCAAATGGGAAATGATTTTTTATTAGGGTTTTGTGAAAAATGAGAATGCTTTCATGATAAGATTCACAACATGAATATCGCTTGACTCATTTTCTAGAAGAAGTATTGTTTAGTGCAATCATAGTTTGATACTATAAGTAGACAAAATTACAAAAAATACAGACAAAAAGAATAATTTATACACGCGTAACAAACTGTGATTACTAAATAAGAATGAGTACGTCAAAGTGAATAGTCCAACAATTTTCCTTATAATCATAACAACAAGTTTGAAACATATACCATTCCATAGTTCAAGAATGATGTCTATCTTTTGTGGCTCAATTAGGATTGAATTTGTCTCCGAATTTTAGTGTCCGGAGCCTAAGGACTAAGAAATCAATTGGAGTCATTGATTTGCGTGAAAGAGAAATTGAAGCTCTTGATTTGTGTGAGGTGGGTCAACGAAATCAGTTAATGGGAATCGTCAGATTCAATTTGAGTGATCCAAATTGCCTAATCCTTAAGTTTCAAACAGTGAAATCTGAAGTTGATTCCCTTCCATTAGGATTAACGTCAAAGTGTGACTTGTCACTCACAAATCCCTTTGGTGATGATCAACTTGGTTGGAAACCTATGACTTTGGAATCTGGATAAGCTTCGATCTGATCTCACTCTTTCTTTACGAATTTTTCATTCAATCTTCAATATTCTATACCCATCAAATTCAATCAAAGTTCAAACCCACTGGCGACTCTGTGATATATTTTCACATATACAATTCCCAAATGGATTGAATGGAGAATTACCGTGGGGCCTCGCGTGAATTATAAGTCTTTTGCCTTGATCCAATTTCGTTCAACTTTTGCTTACCAACAAACACTTTCTACAACCTTATTTCCCAAAGAAAGAAAAAAAAAGCACTTTGTACAACCATTGTTGTTCATGAAAGTTCTTTAGTGAGTTGGCCATTGGCCATTGGCCATGGTAATGGTAAGTTTTCCAATTCCCATACTTAAAAGCTTCAATGAATTGGTGACCCAAAAGCCTCCCCTTAAAGCATACAACATTATTAGGATTAGGTTTGCTTTAAATGGTAAGTAGCGAACTCAAAACTAGCCACATACTTAGAATATGGGTAATTGTCCGACAATTAAAATCCCTCTTGATGAGATTGGAAAACCAACACGACTAACAGGACAAAAACAGAGAACACGTGAAATGTCTAAAATGTTCGTGTAATAAATATATCATGTGAAGCAATACGATTGATGTGATAATATGTAACTAAAAGTTATCCGTTAAAGATTTTACGTGTTACGCTCCATTTTGATTATATCAGTTGTGTTGATTTTTCTGTTTTAGCAAAATAGATTTGTAATTGTCATATAACGGCCAAAGTTCCTAGAATAATTGAGAGAAATTTCACTGTCACGGTTATTAGCCCTAGCCCCTCTCCTACCGAGGATATTGCTTTCTGCACCCCTTTTAAAAGAGACTTCCATGTCACCGGTTCAGACTCCTCTCCTGGCAAGTGAAGTACTTTCACCCCTTTCTCTAATACCTCAAAGGACAAAACCCAAGACCGTTTTCAACCCGACCAAGCATGTCATGGGGTTCCAATGTCACAGGGCCCCAAACCCTAACTTCCCTTATGGCTTCTGTATACAACCACCCTATTCAATTCAATCAAACCAGAGTAATTTGAATAATATGAGTATATCATCATGTAGCATTCAACCAGTCTAAACATAATTATGTAAATTAATTTACATGATTAGACTGAAATATTACAGTAATGGTAAATCCCCCAATTAAGTTTGGATCACAACATTTGGTAGGGAGATTTGTAATTATAAATGGGGGACCACCCCATTCTCCATCTCCCGCCGCCACCCCCCCCCCCCCGGCCCCGCCCCAAAACAAACAAATCTTCTGCTTCATATGGAGAGATTTTCTAGGGCACCGGAAACATGGTCCAGCACATTGAAAAATATTTCCTCAATATTAAGGTCATAAAAGACAATTTTAAATAATACCAAAGAATTGTACAACAACAGAAGATTTGATTGAAATTATGGTGGTGCATCTCACTGATTGGGAAAGATTGAAGAATGGCCACAAGTCTTTCAACAATATTTTTCTTTTGTTTGTCCTCCTCGAAACAAAATCATATGCACACCGTAAACACACAAATCCAAACTATAGCTCTACAGGAGCGATCTTGTGCCTATGTTTCCATCCTTATCTATTTCGAGTTGGAACTTTTTCTTGATCAATAATTTATTTACTTTTCGGCTCGTTTGGTGCACTGGACTGAATCTGGTTAGGTCTTTCACTGGTTATAGGGTATGTTGAGGGAAGAAATAAAAAGAATTGTGTCAAAATTGAAAGTACAAGATAGATTACTTGTTATCTCTTTGAATTCCCCAAAAGATAATAGGATTAGAAAAAATAAACTTCATCCGTGTCTAATCTCCTTCTAATCCTCTCAAAATGAAAAATTATTCACCTCCACCTTCTATATAGCTTAAATTTCATGAATGACATCCAATACAATCATAGGCGCTGAAAGAGCTCTTAACCTCTAAACTCTAGTAACTTCTTTATAACGGGATGCCAGTGTGATGGTATATTATTCAAAGTTATGATTAAAAGCTAAAACACATTACAATATGTAACCGGCTTGAAAACCAGCCACAATGGCATTGTTCCCCGTGTAGGTAAGTTTATCTCCTGACAAAATTATAGGCCCACAAGAATGCAAAAAGGCCATTGCTAATTAGGTACTTTTATTTAGTCTAATGGATTTTTACGATTACCATCCAAATAACTAAACTTTTAACTTCTTCTGGACCAAAGAAAATGCCATTTGCGCGGAAAAAGATGAAGACTCCAAGCCAACAAGGTTTTCCGCTTTACAAGGGTCGGAAGAAAAGAAGAACATCTATCGTAATTAGTCTTACCCTTACTTTGCAAAGAGACTGTTTTCACAACTCAAACCCGCGACTTTTTCGGTCAAATGGAGCAAGCTTTCCATGCAATTTGTACAGAAACTAATCACAAAATTAATTCAATCTGTATATTATATGTTCTCTTTAAATTTTCCTTTATTCTTTTTTTTTTTTTCTCTTCATTGAAGAATGAACAATGTAAATTATACAACACATAAAAGAACCTGTCCACACAAATCATTTCTACTTACGAATCTCAATTTACAACATGTACAATGAGAATTAGAAGGGAAGTACCAGGCATTTGCCCCGGCGGCACTACGACGGCGACGAGCTAAAGATTATATCACTTGTATCAATTAGTCAGTAGCGTTTCCAGTGTCGAAAAGAAACAACCTGAAACTTCATCAATTAAATTTCAATACGAGCATTTAACCGAGCTTTGACCAAACCTTTTTACAATACTCGTGGATAATAACGAAAGGAGTCCGATTACTTCAGTGCAATTT